ACACAAACAATGTTTTAATCACGTACAAACTATATAAAAGAATACACAGACAATTAATTTGTACGCACAGACAAAACAAATGAACGCACAAACAATATTTAAACAATGCACAGACAATTTAAATGAACATATGAACAATAATTTTCTACACACAGACAAAATAAATGAACACATAGACAATATTTTAACCATGCACAGACAATATAAACAAACACACAGACAATAGTTTTCTACAAACGGACAATGTTTTAACTGTGCACAAATAATATAAATAGACAGACAAACAATTTCAATTTGTGCAATCAAAATATTATCTGTCTTCATTCATATTTCTGTGTGGTTAAAAGATTGTTTGTGCATACATTTATTTTGTCTGTGTGTTCATTTATATTGTCTGTGAATGGTTAAAATATTGTTTGTGTTCATTTATTTTGTTTGTATATTGAAAAAACTATCTATAGAAAATAATTGTGTGTTCGTTTATATTGTCTATGCGTGGGCAGTGTGCCTAAAACATTGTCCATGTGCTCATTGATTTATAGCGTCTATGCGTGGTTTAAACATTCTTCATATGTTTGTTTATTTTGTTTGTGCATAGAAGTAATTGTTTGCGTATTCCTTTAAAAAAAACTTACTAAAATTATCTTGCTAAAATGAGCAAATTACCTATAACTACCGAATCATGTACAATGGTTAAAAACAGCAACCACTACTACAATAGCACTCATTCCAGAAACTAAACATGCACCATCATACATTTCAGAAACTAAACATACATCATCATTTAAACTATCATCTTATTTTTTGGCTGGCTTTAGCCTTTCATCTTCATGTCTTCTTTTTGGAGCTTCCCATTGACTTCTTAGTAGCAAGGTTGTCCTCCTTGTGACAGTAAGTGACATATAAAATTATATATGTTGCTCCAATCAACACCAAAATCTATCATATATACCAAAAAGAAATATTAGTGTGTATATATATAGACAAATATTCAGGTCCGGCCAGGCCGGACCACTCCCCCCGTCCGGCCTCCTCCATTTGGGGGCCTTTCCGATAGTATTTTTTGCTCAAATTTTTTGTGTAGGTTCCTCATCAAGTCTAGTTTGCCCATACCAAATTTCAGCCAAAAATTCAATCGGGAAGGTTGTCAAATGATTTTTAAAAGTTAACTGGTCCGGAATATTATTTTCCGGACCAGTTAACTTGCAAAAATCATTTGACGACCTTCCCGATTGAATTTTTGGCTGAAATTTGGTATGGATGAACTAGACTTGATGAGGAACCTACACAAAAAATTTGAGCAAAAAATACCACCGGGAAGGCCCCCAAATGGAGGAGGCCGGACGGGGCTCTGGTCAGGTATACCTGACCGGAAGACTACTCATATATATATATATATATATATATATATATATATATATATATATATATATATATATATATATATATATATATATATATATACAAGGTTATTCTTTTTTAGACAGAACCGGCTGAGAATAACGATAATTGGATGCTACAAGTGCATTGAGAGTATCCTTTTTAGATACATAATTCAGTATAAAATGCGGCTAACACAATAGATTATAAATATCTTTGAACCCCTTAAGTCCAAATGTTGTAAAAAGAAAACCACAATGACAGTAGTTTAAGTAAACAACATGAGAAATAAAGATCCAATACCTAAACAATGAAATAAGAAACTAAGACGCTTCAGTATAGAATAGCAGACAATACCTTGTTGATTTTCAGTATAGTAATGAGTTCATCATGGTATTCATTGAGATTGTTAGGTTCAATCTCTTCAAATGCAATTAACATTGTTGCAGTAGCAATGACAGATGGAAGATAATGCAATAGCCTAGAATCTGGGTTTCAGTTTGTGCCAAATAAAACAAGTCAATACTATTAAAAAACAACAATCATTACTATATTTGCAAAGCTTCAAAAGGGGTAGAATTCCTGACCAGTAATTATAGAGAATGATCCCTTCACAGCACCTCAAAAATTCACAATGCAGGTTATCTTTAAATCCAAATCTCCTAATGATTTGGTCAAAGAAAGAGATGGGTGTGACTGGATTTATCCTCCAATTAAGAGTAGAGAGCACCAGAAGTTGCATTCTCTGAATAGTTTTCGCATCAAACATATACTTGGAGTCCGTAAAAATAACTATATCATTATTTAAAATGGGAAATAAGAAAATTAGAATCTTGAACTAATTAACAAAAAATAAAGTAAAATTTTTGGATTTTAACAAAAAAAATATCATTGAGTCATTTCAACAAACATGTTATGAGCATAAATGTGAAATAGAAAAAATGAACTAAAATTTCAATAGCTAACACGACATTCTCTTACAATAATACAAATTATTCAAGTACACACTGTGATACGATACATTAAATACAATAATCACAAATTTTGAATAAATAAACCCTAACTACATAGTTTGCAAATAAAACCTAAGTGCACATACAAAAATCGAATAGATTTTTACCTCAATTTATGGGCTGCTTGTTCGGAGCTTTTTGTTCGAGCGACGCACACTGTCCATCTCATCCTCGATGTCTGCACCGATTCCGGAGGCAACCACACGGCTGATGGACTTTTTGAAGACAGGTGAGTAGGTGACCACCTGAAACATTACTTCTGAGATTTGGCCCCTGGGAAGGAAGAAACGAACAAGTGAAGTGAGAAAAGAGAAAGAAAAAAAAAGGTCAGTGGAGAGTAAAGATAGAGGAAACGGAGGGGGAGGGGAGTGGGGATGAGAGAAAGGGAGGGAGTGGCGTGGTGGGTAACTTTTGAGCTAAGGGAAGAAGGTAATTTTTTAAGGTATATATAGTGTGTATGTGTGTGTACAATTAGTGTGTACCAAAGGCATTTTCGTTATAAATGTTTTTTACCTGTTGCCTTGAAGTTTATACTAATATTCCCTCCGTCTCAAAAAACATTGTCACTTTCCCTTTTAATCAATTATATGTGGCTTCTGTTATTTTCCTTTCCTCTGCACAAATCTTAACCACACAATTTTTACATTATAATTCTCCGTGCCAGTCAAACATGACAAAATTGTAAGGGACAGAGTTAATATGATTTTCAACCCCTACTCATTTGAATGATTTAAATTCCCTCATCATTGTGAGAAGGGATTAGAAAAATAAAGGGAGATTTCCCAAAATATGACTAAATAGAGTTTGAAATTCCAAAACATTATGTAGTATACTATGTTTTTCTTCTTGAAATAGGAGTAAGATGACAATATCTATTGTTATCTTTTAGTCATAATTGTCAAATAGTTGGAGTCAGTGTTCTAAAAGGCGTTAGGCGCTAGTCGGGCGGTGACTGGCCGCCTAGCGCCTAGCCCGCCTAGGCGCCGACTAGGGCGCCTAGGTGTTTTCCTTTATTTCTTTGTTTTATTTTTATTTTCATTGAATTTTAAATATATTACCAATAATTTTATAATATTTTGACAATAGGAATAGCTCATATAATCATTATATATTATCATTTTTGTAAAAAATTATAAATAATAAAATAATTAATAGATAAATGTAGAGATTTATATTTTTTTAGTCTCTAAAAATGCACATATACATTCTATTTTTTTTAAATATTTCAAAATTAATTTTTATCATAGTAATATGAAACTAAATTATATAGGAATAGAATACTTATTGATCAAACGTTGTTTTAAGTCAAAACGGGGGGAAAGTTGGATATGGGAAAAAATTAATCCAGACCACCTAGCCACCGCCTAGCCCGCCCAGGCGCCCGCCTAGCCGCCTAGTCGGCCGCCTAGCCCGCCTAGGCGCCCAACCGATTTTTCCGACCGATTACACCAAAGTCGGGGCGCCCGGCCACCGCCTAGCGACTAGGCAGCGCCTAGGCGGGCGCCTAGCCCGATTTTTAGATCCATGGTTGGAGTACTATGCATTCAACATGGTTGTATTTATTATAATTAATAACAATATTTTTTAATCATGCCATTATTTTGGAATCATGACAATAACGACTTCTATTTTGAAAAGAAAAACATAGTAGTCCTATTTAGGAATTCTCAAAGTTGTTTACTCGGGTAATTTCTCAAAACAAAAAGGAACGAAGAGAGTGAGACTTATAAAATTTAGAGCATGTTTCATAACATTGATGAAATTGGTTAGAATTATTGAATTATGAAAAGTTATTCAAAATACATCTTATTAATAGAAGGGAAGAGGGCCAAAAAGCCCCTAGAGTTGCCACTAAAGAACATCTAAACTCATAAACTTGATTTATGTGCATAAATCTTTATATTCCATTAAAAGAGAGCAACTATGCCCTCGTGTAACGGTGAGTCCAAATAGATAACAGCCATCTATTGAAAATTTTGACACAACTTAGATACCCTAATCCGAATGAGCCGTAATCTTCCAAAATCAAAATTGAACTCGCTTGCGTTTCTCTGAAGCCGGAAGCCGCCTTTCTCTGAAGCCTGAAGCCGCCTTTCTCCATGGATGAAGATGTCTTCCTCTTCCGTCGACTAACTCTACGGGTGAAGCCGCCTTCTCTGTCTCAGATTAACCTTGGGAAGAAGGTTAAACAAGTTTTTGTTTAGTTGTAATTCTCGTAGTAACTCTGTACAACTGAGCTGATGAAAACCTCAATTTGTATACTCCTCGGTATATATGTTTTTTAATTGTAGAAAACTAATTAATTAAGAAGCACATCACGGAAATTCCACTTCATTGTTTTGTGCTATCGAAAGAATCTCACTTTAATGTTTTCTTTGAACCATGTGATGTCAAGATGATGCTAATGCATTATACTCCAGTGGTTACTTTATTGGAGAATATCAAACCATTCAAATTTTAGTACAAGAAACTCATGTCATGAAATAAGAGCTGTTATGATAAATACCAGTGTCATATTACAATAAAGATAATTTGCCTTAGTCAAGCCTAAAACATATTTTTGCAGTCACATGTTATTTCTTCCTATTTGAACATAATTTGGATGTTGTTTCTTCTTATTTAATTTCTGCAGTTATTTTATCCTAATTTAAAAATGCTTAATGAAATGAAGTAAATTGTCCATTCAATTTATATATATCTAAAGAATTAGGGCGAGATGTATGAATGAAGTAAATTGTCCATTCAATCTATATATATCTAAAGATGGGAAAATCCTGGTTTAGCTGTGAAGAAATTGGTGAATGAACATAAGTGCTATAGGCATTATTCCTTATCTACCGCGTTCGCAAGCTGGCTTCCCAATATTTTAAGGATAGAATCTATCAATGCCCGAAGTATACTGCTAAGATGATGAAGCATGATGCTGAAAAGGAGTTGACGATCAATTTAGCTAGTGACAAATGTAAAAGGGCTAAAAGACTTGTTATTTAAAGCGGAGCTAGTTTAGCTACCCGCAGCTTATGCTGATTCACTTAAAAGAAGTAATCCGGGCACAAAGGCAGAGATTGATTTGGATAAAGAAACTTTGAAAGAAGGAAGAAGAGTATTTGGAAGGATGTTTATATGCTTTGAATCTTGCAAAAGGAATTGGTTGAATGGATATAGACCTTTAACAGGACTTGACGGGTGTTTCTTAAAAAGAGTTACTAAACATCAACTATTAATAGCCATTGGTGTTGATGGCAATGATCAGATGGTCCCGTGATTACGATGTAGGTATCTTCCACCTTCTTTCTTGGAGGTTGCCAAGAGACACCTTAACATGGAGGCACCTTCATGGAAGGAGCTCTCCAACAAATAGGTGTGGGAGAAGATATGGAGATAACTAGGAAGCTTGGATGCAACTTCCTCATGTCTCCAAACCAGCCCTATAAATAGAGTGTTCTATTGTTGTTCATATCATCAGTTTAGAAAGTGAGAAAAGTGTGTGAAGAGTGAAATACACTTAGAGTAGAAGTGTATTGGTGAGGATTGGCTTTTTGTAATAGTTGAGTGTGAGAGTTTGCTCCTCCTATTGTAATTCTGTTCTTGATATTGAATAGAAGAATTTTCCAATCCCATCAAGTGGTATCAGAGCGAGGTTGAGTTTTCATACACTGTTTTCTCATTTTCAGATAAATTTCTACAGGTTAGAAAATCGTGATTTTTCAAGTTGCTCGGAATCACGATCTGATCATACCATTAGATTCGTCTCGTCGAGACGAGAAATCTGGTATTTCTTGGGAATTTTTTGGCCACCGGAAGAGGCCGTACGCGCCGCCCAAACGCGCCGGAAAACTGCCTGCGTCATCATTGCGTCATCACGCAGTCCAGAGGAAGAAGACGAGCCACGTCAGCCGCCACGGCAGCGCCACGTCAGCCCAAGTAAGCGCCACGTCATCCGCCACGTCATCCGTGCAAGCCATCTCTAGGTGCCACGTCAGCGCCACGTCAGCGCCACGTCAGCGACACGTGGCGCCACGTCAGCGCCAGCGCAGAGCCAGCTGTTGCCACGTCATCCGCCTGCTGGTCTGCTCACTGGGCTGCTGCCTGAACCGGACCGAACCGGTTCGTACTTGTGGAGGCCGGTTCACCCATTTTCGGACCGGTTTTGGACAAGGTCAGACCGGTTCCTACCATTTTCGGCCATTCCGGATCCAACGGTGAGCTCCGTTTGTCCAAATTCGGCTCCGAAAATAAGGTACGAGATATTTTGAGCGTTTTATTATGGATAAATCATCATCGGACACCATGATTGCGCTCACTTCCACAAATTACAATATGTGGAAGCCTCGGATGGAGGATTTGCTAAATTTGAGGGATTTAGCTGATCCTCTTGATAATAATGGCGTGAAACCGGATAAAAAGACGGATGAAGAATGGACAAAAATGAATAGAAAAACTGTCGCACAAATTCGACAGTGGATTGATCATAGTGTGTTCCACCATGTTGCGCAAGAACAAAGTGCTTACACACTATGGGAGAAGCTTGGTAGCATGTATCAAGCAAAAACCGCACGAAATAAGACTTTACTAATGAGGCGATTAGTAAACCACAAATTACGAGGAGGTATTTCGGTGTCAGAACACACCAGTCAATTCCAGGATCTTGTGAATCAGTTGAGCACCACCGGATGGGTTCTCAAAGATGAAGAACAGGCGATACTACTCTTGAGCTCTCTACCTGACAGCTGGGAGACTCTTGTTGTCACTCTCAGCAATTCTGCTCCCAATGGCAAAGTGACTATGCAGATGGTCACAGATGCCCTTATGAATGAAGAAGCCCGAAGAAAAGAAGCCGGGACTGAACAATCATATGCCTTCGTGTCAGAAACCAGCAGACGAGGGGGAGGCAGAAATGGAGGAAGAACTCGAGGTCGAGGTAGAGGCCAAGGTCAAAACAGAGGAAATTCTCAAGTTCGCGGCAGATCACAAGAGAGAGGTATGTCCTTTGAAAACAGTACTTGGTTTGAAGGATATTGCAATTACTGTAGTAATTATGGGCACAGAAAAAGAGATTGTAGAAAGTTTCTACGAGAGCAGCCACAGACGAGTCAAAATACTAGCCAAGATGATGGTGAGACCATGGTTAGTTTGTCATCAGACGTGTGTCTTGTTACACATGGTGAACAAGAATGTTTACACGTAGGTACTCATGATGTTGAGTGGGTGATTGATACAGCCGCATCATTTCATGCCACTCCACACCAGAATTTATTCACATCTTATAAGTCCGGGGACTTTGGAGCTGTGAAGATGGGAAACACCAGTTTCTCGAAGATTGTTGGCATTGGTGATGTGCACATAACAACCAATGTCGGATGCGCACTTGTGTTGAAAGATGTTCGACATGTTCCGGATCTTAGATTGAATCTTATCTCCGGTACAGCTCTGGATCAGCAAGGACATCTTAACCGATTCAAAGAAGGTACGTGGAAGTTATCTAAAGGTTCCTTGGTTGTTGCAAGAGGCCATATTTGTGGTACTCTTTATAAAACTCATGCAAAGTTGTGTCATCCAAGTCTTAATGCTGTTGAAGAAGAGATATCACCAAACTTGTGGCACCGGAGGCTAGGCCACTTGAGCGTGAAGGGATTGACAACTCTTGCAAAGAAGGAAGTCATTTCCATGGGCAAAGGTGTTGCCCTAGATCCATGCGAACACTGTCTATTCGGGAAACAACACAAGGTTTCCTTCAGTTCTACCAGGAAGAACCATTCAGAGTTACTCAGTCTTGTACACTCTGATGTATGCGGACCCATTGAAGAGGAGTCACTTGGAGGAAGCAGATATTTCGTGACATTCATTGATGATGCATCACGAAAGGTATGGGCTTATTGTTTGAAGAGTAAGGATCAAGTGTTTGATCGCTTCAAATTATTTCATGCGATGGTAGAAAGAGAAACAGGGAAGAAGCTGAAGTGCCTGCGTTCAGACAATGGAGGAGAGTACACTTCTCGGGAGTTCTCAGCATATTGCGCAGCATATGGAATCAGACATGAGAAGACGGTTCCACGAACTCCACAGCACAATGGTGTAGCCGAAAGAATGAATCGGACCATTATGGAGAAAGTTCGCTGCATGCTGAGTATGGCTAAACTACCTAAGCCATTCTGGGGTGAAGCTTTGCTGACAGCTTGTTATCTTATAAACAGGTCACCTTCTGTTCCTTTAAACTTTGAAGTGCCAGAGAAGAAATGGTCAAGAAGAGATGTTTCTTACTCTCACTTAAAAGTGTTCGGGTGCAAGGCATTTGCACATGTGTCCAAGGAGTTGAGACAGAAGCTGGATCTCAAGTCAAACCCATGCATCTTCATCGGGTATGGTGATGAAGAATTCGGATACCGGTTGTGGGATCCCGAAGTGAAGAAAGTTGTACGAAGCAGAGATGTTGTATTTCATGAAAACGAGTTTCATGGGTGTGTTCCAATAATCCGCCAACAACATACTCCAGAAGACGAAGTGCATGTATCATCAAACATTCCTCTCAGCGACGAGGAGATGCATGATACTACTGAACAAGAGAGTGATGGTTCAGTAGGTGATGATGATACTCACAGTGATGATATTCCTCAGCAGGGGGAGCCTTCATCTGAAGACGAAGCTGAAGGTATTCATGTTCGACGTTCTATGCGAGGCATAGTTCCACAGAGAAAGTATTCCACATCCGAATGGATACTTGTTAGCGAGGGGGAGCCTGCGAGCATTGCAGGAACGAGAGAAATAAAGAAAAAGGTGGAGGGGGAGATTTGTAGGTATCTTCCACCTTCTTTCTTGGAGGTTGCCAAGAGACACCTTAACATGGAGGCACCTTCATGGAAGGAGCTCTCCAACAAATAGGTGTGGGAGAAGATATGGAGATAACTAGGAAGCTTGGATGCAACTTCCTCATGTCTCCAAACCAGCCCTATAAATAGAGTGTTCTATTGTTGTTCATATCATCAGTTTAGAAAGTGAGAAAAGTGTGTGAAGAGTGAAATACACTTAGAGTAGAAGTGTATTGGTGAGGATTGGCTTTTTGTAATAGTTGAGTGTGAGAGTTTGCTCCTCCTATTGTAATTCTGTTCTTGATATTGAATAGAAGAATTTTCCAATCCCATCATACGAGAAGACAACTTGAAGCACATCGAGATAAAGTTGGGAATCAACAGGGTGGATCGGGAGACATTTTGCAAGGATAACATATTGTGGAGGCTGAATGTTTTCTTTAACATTAACCAAACATTTTTTGCATTAACATATAGGAGTTATTCTTATTTTGCTTGAAGCTGCTGTTACTTTGATGTTCTTAAGTTGGGTGCTCTGAAGATGATGTTTTTTACCGAAGTTGGATGCTCTGAAGTTGGCCTTTTGCTGCTATGTTATTTCTTATGTATAATTTTCTGTTTATAAAATAAGTAGTGATTTTTTTATGATTGTAGCTGCTGTTTTTTTGGGTCAACATACTTGATGTTTCTTTTTAATACATTTGTTGTATCAACAGTTATAATACTTTGATTGGATCACCTTTTTAATAGACTTGCTCACACCAAAAAAGTTTATGGGCTTAGATGCATAATGTGACAACTTTGGGGTGTTTTTGCTCCTTACCTCAAAATTTTCAACAGATGTTATCTATCTGTTTCATCACTGTTAGATAAGGGGGGATTTTCCCTCTTTTGATAGAATATAAAGGCTTGTGTACAAAAATTAAGTTTATGGGCTTAGATATCCGTTAGTGACAACTTTAGGGTTCTTTTTGCCCTTTATGAGTGAATTCCACAAATAGGAGTAAAATATAGGTAAAATGCAAAAATAGGAGTATCATGTTTTGAATAGGAATAATTTTAGTATTTGGGCAAATATACTCATACCTAAGCCCTAGCCACCTTCCCTAACCCTTAGCCACTGCTATTGGCCGCCATCGCCATGAATTTAAATAGATATCTATCTGTTTCATCACATTTTGTTGTTTTCTTCTCTTTATCTCGGCAACGAAAAAACTAAAAAACAAGTGATTCTGAGTTCCATTGGATCAACTTTCACCCTTATCAGAAGTTTTAAGTTGAGTTCGCTTCAGAGGGGAAATTTAGTGATTTTCCCCAATGAATGAGTGTTTAGCAAATCACTTATGAGTGTTTTTGTCTTAATGTCTCAAGCCAATAGGTAGAGTGATAGTTAGGACTTCTGAGAAATATTGAGGTGTTAATCATTCAGTAGTCTTTTTTCGGGAGTTGCATGAGAAACGTGGGATACACTTCGTATGTTAGGGGACCAAGTCATGATTTATTTATCTCAAAAGATTCTATAGGTTATTAGGTGAGTTCATGATGATGATCAAAACTGTAGAAATAATAAAAAATGCAATTATTAAGAGAGTGTACAAATAAACTGGTACACATTAAGAATCTGCCCAAATCCCAATAAAAGACCGCTTCCAAATCCATTTCAAACTTATTTTGCAATGCCTCATACATGAATTTCCTAAAGTTTATTAGATACAATAAATTTGCACTACCCTATCCTCCTGGAGCCATTCAAACTCAGCTCTACCCTCCTGAATTGAGTGTAATTCAACTCATCAAAATATTATACTCGCCAGTTTCACCCCACCCCCAATCAATATATATAAACTCATTTACATTGCAAGATATTATTTCGCCTCATTGCATCATGTGTTGCTTGTCGGCCTTATCTCGCTGTTACCTGTCCTGGTGATATACCACCACGGGAGACATCAAAGAACAGATCATTACTCTTACACAAGACATACACAATATCAACCATGCTAGGCCTCTTGGAAGGATCTCTGTTCAAGCATGCAACTGCAACCGACATCACATTGATCACACTCTCCATCGAGAATGACTCGCTAGCAAGACTCGGGTCCATCCACTCCTTCACCTTCTCCACCTTCGCCTCCTCGTTTCCCTTCAATACGTCCACGGCTTTTACCCACAAAACCCTCCCTTCTTCGTCGATCGCCTCCCTCCCGGACACTAGCTCAAGCAGCACAACTCCAAAGGAGAACACATCCATCTTGGTGGAGACGACGCCATCGGCAAGGTACTCAGGGGAAATGTAGCCCTGAGTGCCCATGATGTGCATCGTGATGGCGGTGCATCCAGACTTTGCCAGCCCAAAGTTGGCGATCTTGGCCCGCATGTTGGCATCCAAGAGGATGTTGCTGGTCTTGATGTCTTTGTGGACAACCCTGGGCCGGGTGTGTTCGTGGATGTATTGCAAGCCAATGGCTACGTCTGTGGCTATGCTCAGCCTCGTTTTCCAGCTCAGTCTCGCGTTCTTGTCCCCATGAATCCATGAATATAGTGAGCCGTTTTCCACATATTCATACACTAGGTAGCAATTAGCTTCTTTTGAGTCTATACAGAAGCCTTTCAGCTTTACCAAACTCCCATGGTTTACCTACAATTTGGGAACATCAATACACTTGTAATACGGAGTATATACTCCCTCTGTCCCTAAAAGAAGTTCCATTTCGCTTATCGAGGGTCAACTTAAATCACTCTTAAACTCTTACTTTTTATATCAAAATTTTATAAAAGTTGAATTATTTTTTGCAGGCTTTGTAGCGGGTTTAATGCAATTTCTGAATATGTAAATTTTATTTACTAAAAATAATCCGAGTTTTCACAGGGATCATTTAACTTTATCGTCGGTCAACCTTCGTAATCCGCAATTGGAACAACATTTAGGGACGGAGGGAGTATTAACTAAGGATTGAATTTAATCACAAATTTAGTTACAAAGTTTTGTAACTAACTACATCGCTAGACTTGATAGAGATAAAACTATCAACAACAACAACAACATCCAAGCCTTAGTCCCAAACGATATATAGAGATAAAACTATCGCTTCACATAAAGTTACTATTAGTAATTAAATAAGAGTAACTTATGAAAAACATAAAGCAATTAAAGTCAAATTATAAAGTAACTATTGGTAATTAGTAGTAGTATTTAATCATAGTATTCAATTTTTAAACTTAAATGACAGTAGCACTATACTATAGTACTACGTATCTATTAGTCATATTTGTGTAAATGAGTTATATTATAGTAATACTTATGAAAAAATTCATTCTTCAATTATTCGGCCATAAAGCTTCTATGGAGTCCGCTTCGCAATGCATGCTAATATTGACTTAATCAATTCATAATATACTACAATATCTGAAACCACATAATCCATTGAACCATAAAAAATACTCTGTAATATTAGACTGTATATTATTGATAAGATTAAAAAAATTAAGAAAAGATTAAATCTTCTTCTTCCGTTAATTCATTTAATCTAACAAGAAAATTTACTCCAAATTTGAATATGATGATTATTACATAAAAGTTTTTCCATAAATATTACTGAAATATTTTTTTAAATCCCACTAGCAGATCAACCTAGAGGGTTGGAATTGAGGAATATTACTGAAATATAATTTATGAAAAAAATATGATTAAAATTAGTTCACTGTAAATTTGAACATGTTATTAGTCACTAAGTTTATTATGATGACCACTAAAATATAAAAAAACACATTCTTATGTAATGTATTTATTATAGCCATATGTCTCTCATTAGTTCTACGGAGTCCGAAGTATTACATAATTCAATGTGTGGGATAAAAAAATATTATTTGTAAGGTCTTTAAACAACTCAAATGGTTGACTGTTTAGATTTTTAGAGCTTTACTAACAATGGTCTCTGATTTTTAGTTTAAGATATATCACTACAAAAAAATTACGGGATTGACACGGAATTTGGCACGGACTTACCGATTTTTCGTGCCAAATAGCTCGTGCCAAAGTGTTTTTGGCACGGATTTGGCATATCCCTGCCAAAATCCGTGCCAAATCCCTTCCAAAATCCATGCCAATCCCGTGTTTTTTTTGTAGTGTATCTTTCTTTAACATAATCATTAACAAACAAAAAAATAATATCTATCACAAAAATGGTTTAATTTTCACAAGTCGAGTTGTGTTTCATGTTTGATGTTTCACAGTGACACCAGATTGTTTTTATGTTTTTATATTATTTTAGAGTCTGCTTGGTGGAGGTAGAAGTAATTCTAACCGTGATGAGATTACTCTTGATGGCAAAGAGATAGCGGTGTGAGATATGTTTCGTGACTTGAGCTTCATAATTCAGAAGGATGGTGAATTACATAGAGATGTATACCACAAAATCAAAGCTGGATGGATGAAATGAAAAGGTTCATCATGATTTGTATGCAATTGAGGTATGCCGACTAGACCGAAGGGTAAATTTTATCGAATATCAATTAGGCCTGCTTTTCCATCATTTGCAATGGAGTCAAAGTCTTGCTATTTTTTGGCTTGGAAATATGATGGAATAAAGCAAAATAGTTCACTAAACTGTCTGCGTTTCTTTCTTTGTTATGAACCAGCAGTCAGTCCATGTAATTTTTTATGCGATTTTCACTTTGGGTCATCCGGAAACGATCTCTCTGTGCTTTAGTACAGGGGTAAGACTGCGTACATCCGACCCCCCTACTCCACCATTGGTGGGAGCCTTTGCGGCACTGAGATAATGATGATGATGATGATGATGATCAATTAGGCCTGCATTAATGTATGACGCAAAGTGTTGGACGGTGAAACAATGTCACATTCAAAAGATGAGTGTGATAGAGATGTGTATGTGATATGCACTGATTAGTAGTGCATAAATGTTTGTTTTTATGTTTGATTTGTGTGTATTGTTTACCGTTTTAGTTACTTTGTAAACATTTGTGTGATTTTAGTTGTAATTGTATTTTAATCTTCATTTGTAAGTTGTAAAGTAGAGTTAGAAATTAGGATGTGGAAAGGAGGACTTTGAAGTGAAGGAAAATGATATTTGACTGCCCAGGAGCTAAAACCCGACCGGGTAGGACCTTACACCCGGTCGGGTAAGAAGTGAAAACCCAAAGTGCTCAGGAAACTGCTAGACTCGGTCGGGTCCCCTACTTCACCCGGTCGGGTCGGATTTGACCCGGAACATTTTAATGTGCTGAAACACAAGAACGTGGAAGATTATCTGATCTTGACATGCACCCGGTCGGGTGGGCACTTGACCCGGTCGGGTACCTGGCCAAGGTGTTGAAAAACACCTATAAATAGCACACTTTTTCTTCACTATTTTTCATTCCTTCTTTCATACTCTTATGCTCAGTTTAGAATAGTATTTCTTTTATATTTTTATAGCATGTTTAGTCTCCAAATGAGGAGCTAAACATCCATTTCTTGGTGTTGCTCTTGAAGCTTGTTGATTATTAAAGTTGTGAGTTATTTTCTTAACTTTAGCTCTTGAATATTAATTCTTCCTTTAATCTATCTATATATTAATGTTGGGGAGTGTTGCTAAGATGACAATTAGTTAACATCTCGACATTAGTTATAGTAGTGTTTATTTTCTTCCTCT